GGAGGCAATGAGGGGTCAATGGGGAGAGGGAGGAGCTGGAGGAGGCAATGAGGAGATGGGGGAGTCAATGAGGGGTCAGCGGGGAGATGGAGGAGTCGATGGGGGCTGTGGGGAGATGGGGGAGATGGAGGAGTCGATGGGGGCTGTGGGGAGATGGAGGAGATGGAGGTGGCTGGAGGGGTCGGTGGGGAGATGGAGCAGGCAATGAGGGGTCAATGGGGAGATGGAGGAGCTCGAGGGATGGAGGGAGAGAGAGAGAGAGGGTCGAGGGAGAGATGGAGGAGCCAATGAGGGGTCGGTGGGGAGATGGAGCAGCTGGAGGAGCCAATGGGGAGATGGAAGAGTCCGTGGGGAGATGGAGGAATCAATGGGGAGATGGAGGAGTCAATGGGGAGATGGAAGAGTCCGTGGGGAGATGGAGGAATCAATGGGGAGATGGAGGAATCAATGGGGAGATGGAGGAGCTGCAGGGGTCCGTGGGGAGATGGAGGAACCAGTGAAGGGTCCGTGGGGAGATGGAGCAGGCAATGGGGCTGTGGGGGGAGGGAGCAGCACTCGGGGGGCTCCAGGTGGGGAGGGTCACTCAGTGGGGGGAGGGAGAGGGGTCAGCTCGGCCGGAGGGGGCTCGGAGTGACCACAGGAGGCTCACAGTGACCACAGGGGGGGTCAGAGTGACCACCGGGGTGTTGGAGTGACCACCGGGGGGGTCAGAGTGACCATCGGGGTGTTGGAGTGACCACAGGAGGCTCACAGTGACCACAGACGGCTCCGAGTGACCACAGGCGGCTCCGAGTGACCACAGTGGGGATCAGAGTGACCACCGGGGCTCAGAGTGACCACCGGGGGGTCATAGTGACCACCGGGGGGGTCAGAGTGACCACCGGGGGGTCATAGTGACCACAGACAGCTCAGAGTGACCACCGGGGGGGTCAGAGTGACCACCGGGGGGTCAGAGTGACCACCGGGGGGTCAGAGTGACCACCGGGGGTCGGCGCGGCCGGAGGGACCCCGGACAGGCGGGGGGGGCGGACCGGAGCCGCCCCTCCCCCCCCGGGCCGCTGGGAACCCCCGGCGCCGCCCCTCCCCCCCCGCGGGCGCCCCCGGCCCCGCCCCCCGCCCCTCCCCCCCCGCTCCGCC